TTAGTGTGCAGTGTAGAGAGGGTTCTTAAATTGTCAATTATCAGATTTTTTAAATTAGAATTAACACATTGACTGGACAAACCGCATGGATAGTTCAACAGTATTCAATAAGCTATTGCATAAGCTTACCAACTTTAGTACACCTGTATTTATTACTAATTAATTCACGTCTTTTTTTAAATCAAACAATATTGTGATTCTTACAATACAATATACATCTCAAAGGAGCATCTGGTGTAATAAAAAAGTCACCTGTAAACATGTATTTAAAGATTTTCAGGGTAAACAAAATGTTGAATTACCTACATGTTAATTAATTGAAACAAAAAATCTAACTTTGAAATTATCCTGTGGAAATTTTTCCCCAGAATATATATCTTACGCCAAACACAGTAAATTGCTAAGCTGCTAAAATATTTTGGAAAAACTACTGAATATAGCTAGATTGAGAGAATTCATACTCATTGTCTGGTTAATGGACCTGATTATAAGCAAATAGCAAAATGTAAAATCAACGTTAAGACATTTGCCTATAAACCCTAGTGTTTTAGATCCTAGCTTTTGGGTTTAAAGGTAGCTGTCTATAAATACTTTTCACCTTTATAAAATAAGTTAACAATTTATCAGTCTGGTTTTGGCTTGGATGATCATGAATTCATAATCTCGACGATTTTACCGTTGCTACCAAGGATGACCATCTGCTTGAAACAATTGTCAACATTCCAAAATATGAACGGTCAGCTTGGGGTGCTCTTAGCAGATGACAAAACTGTAGGACAAACAACTTGATTGATATTTTTGGGTTTAGACATAGACACGGTTAACATTTTAGTAAAATTTCGACTGCTATCCAGGAAATCTTGACTAAGAAGAAAAATAATCTTAAAGCCCGAGATAATAAGCACCGCCTTCAGATTTACCTGGTCTGTATCCCCCCGTCAATCAAATAAATTAAGGTCCATCATTGGGTACTTGAAAATGATTGACATTTAGCTGCTAGTCCCTGTGTATATCTCTTTCACCTTGTTTGACACGTGTGGCCAACATCAAATTAACTTTCGGTTTTCTGATGTTTACCGCTAAATCACCATCGCAATGAGGAAGCCATTTCGATGCAAACAATTTTAGCTTGATTATAATTGATTATAATTATCTGTATTACAAACATTGAAAAATGAAAATGTTCTCATAGTGTTTCAATAAAATAAATCAAGATTGTGTAATTTTTTTCCCAATGAAAAGTGTATAGGTGACTGAAATCTTGTTTTCACTCGTAAAACGATCATTCTTGTTTTGAGACGCGGCGAAAAAATTACTATTAAAATAAAGGAGAAAATAAACTGGTAACATTTTTTGCTTAAAATGGATAGTAAGGTTGAAAACAAAATGTCTGATTAGTAACAACTTCGCCTGGACAAGTATTAAAGTATTGAGTTTCTTTTCCTTTTCCTTTTTTATAACCGAGCATTTCTTGCTACGTGTGTTCTTACCTCCGTTCAAGGTCACAGGTGTTAAAAATAGTTTTGAAAGAAATACAGAAGTTAGCAATAAATCAATATTTTGTTTTAAGTTTTTTAATTATAATCTCAATTAACTTATCGATAAATTACAAGCATTTGTAGGTATTAAATTTTAATTTGACGAAACCATCGTTATGGCGAAATTTTCACAAGATACAGAATGTACATAATTTGCTAAAAATAAGACCACGCGACTTTTTATACAAACGGGAAGTAACTGTTTCTATTTGACCGTGATCGAAGCTCTAATTGCTACAATACTTACGATAATTATTAATAGTTTTTAAGTTTTTGAAAGGGACAGGCAAGGATGAGAATTTTACTGTTGAATTTATACCTGTATTTCATTTTTTTAACAACGAACTCGATCAAGTCATTGCTGCTGTGACGAACAATGTAAGGTACAAACCGTAGATTTCTTTATACAAAAGTCGACCGGTGAGATTTCTGCTTGTTCTGATATTAGATATGTCTGAAATTATGGAATTTTACAATGATCATTAATTATTACTAGTGATATTTTTTATCCCTGATGTCGAGATCTACTAATTTTACGATGAACAGTGGGCCAGCAAACTGTACAGGTAATACTCATTGACTTCCTGTGTATACTGTTTGTGTATAGAGATTAGCGCTTCCCACGGTCTGCACGACCATCAATGCCTCGGGGTGCCACGCATGTAAAATTTAGTCCCTCCCCTTACCTGAGAAAACCGTACGGTTAAAAATCTCGGCCTTTAAACATGTATTCTAAAGTATGTAGAGCCGTGCATAATAACGCCTTATTTAAGAATTATCAATTCCCGTTTTCAATGTTTTTTCATTGCAGTGTTCTTAGATAAAAATGAATAAGATTCTCATTATTTACTATATTTATGTCACCAGTAAAATCGAGACCTGCTGGACTATACTTTTATGGCGAGTAACCTAGTATTTGCTCTGCTTCCGACTGTTTAAATGAAGTTAATGAGCTTGAATGCTGTTCCTTATCACCATATTTCCTCTGTAGAAGTTGTCTCCTCCAAAACGGAAAAATACGTTCACTTGATCTCTTATTTAAAGTATAGCAACCTGGCCAGGTGCAAACCTATACAATGATATGTACAAATGTACAAACAATGGTGCATTTCTTGTTTTTAAAATACTGAAAAACCATTTGAGCTTAAAAATAAATCAATAGATCCGTTTAAAGTCAGCATTTTGTTAACTCTGCTTTCGTTACAATTACCATGTCAAAAAAAGTTCAATGTTGATGAATGTTTTTCATTCAAATTGTTAGATTACAATATTCATGTTTAATTGTGTACGGGTTTTTTTTCTGATCATGACAAGGATCACACGATGTGTGTGACCAGGAGATGCAAATTCTTCCATGGTCCTGATCCCACTTCTAGTAATACCCCCAACCCCCATTCTTAGGAGGTCAGTTTCACTCCCAATCCAGTGGACTTTTTAGCTCGATCTTGTTCTTTTTCTTTTTATTTATTTTCATATTGGATTTGGACAGTTGTCCATTATTTATTGCATTACTATGAAACATTTCATAAAAATATTAAAATCTGCTTTACTTCAGATTGTACAGCATACTATTGGTGGCTACAAAAAGTATTCATATAATAAAATTAATTTTGTTTGTTTTTCTTCTTTTGAACAAATTTTGTTCACAGAATATTCCAACAGAATTGAAGGATTTCTCCCAAAAGTTGTGTAGATCTTCCATTTGGCACAAAGCATCAAAATAGTGGGTTTTTTCAAACATGATCTTTAAATGATAAAAATATATGGTTAGTCATCAGAAAAAATATGTAAATCTAAGATAAAACGCGTTTCAATTAATAAACAAGCTTGATGAGTCGAAGTAGTTGATGTCCTCATGGATTTCTCAGAAATTCAATTTATCTCTTAAATAAATGAAATACATGTTCATTGAAGGAAAGAGAATACATGTAATACAATGAATCATAGGGAGATAACGAAAAGTATTCAACATCAAAAGTCCAGTAAAAAAATAGAAAATGGGAGCAGAGCAAACAGGGACCTTCAAAACGTCAGCGGTAGGATCAGGTGGCATGGAGGAGTAAGCATCCCGTGCCGTCCTGTCACACCCGCCGTGTGCTCCTTGTCATGATCGGGATTTAACAGAAAAATCCGTCGTCAATTCAGTTTATGAATAATGGACTAACAATTAGTTTGAAAAAATATTGTTTTAAAAAAAAGTAGTATCATTTTACTGCTTTTACTATGAAAATAATTGTACTTTTTAGTAAATGACCAATTCAAATCATGTACATTCTTAGATGTAAAACCATAAGATATATTTAATTTTTCATTGATACTTTTGTAAGAAAGTGTGTGTTCGTATGTGAGGATGAGGAATTGTATGCCTTGTTACAACGCACTTTGAAAAATTACGCACTTTGAAATTTTTTTTCAAAGTGCGTTAAATTTGGGACCAACCTTACCCACTTTGAAAAAATTATTTTTTTTTTCAAAGTGCGTTAATATCGACCATATTAACGCACTTTGAAAAAAATGTAAAGATTGATCAATATTTCTAGAAAATAATCGGTAATGATGAATAATAGATCCTGGTTGGATAACTTTTTTATGATAAAGTCACTTCAGGACCTGAGATATTGACGTTTTAAATATTTGAGGTTTTGATAAAATAAAAAGGAAAAGGGTCTTGAAAAAAAGGGAGAGGATTGTTTAAGATCATTAATTCGTTTTTTTTTTATTCTAGTCTTTGATAAATAGATGTAAAGGTGTAAAGGGGGCACTAACAGTGAACAGCATCAAGCAACTTAGCATTTATCATAATAAAATGGGGGCAATCAAGTTCAAAACTATGAAAATTCTTTCTCTCTCATACGTTTTACTGTACTTAAATATTTTTAGTTTTCATCTGTTTCAATTAACTCATTTAATATTAATACATAATTATATGAATGTTTTGAGTATAGCATAGACATCGAGACCAGGCGAAGGGCCAGGGGAAGGGGCTAAGCCCCCCCTCTTATTTTGGAAAGATATATACATCGTATAAGCATTGAAAATGCAGCTTATCCCTTTTGGGTTTATTGCTCGCCTCCCCCATTTGTTACTGACACCTATGTATTTGAAAGATAAAGATTTGGAGTGAGGCTAGGGATCTTATACTCGTCTCCTCTTTTCGACGGGAGTAAATCAATTAAAATTCTTTCCATTACTAAAATATGATTTTTTTTCAAAGTGCGTTAAGTGTCTCCATGGTAAAATATATTGATGTAGACTCTTAACGAACTTTGAAAAATTTTTCAAAGTGCGTTGAGTTGGTCCAAAATTTAACGCACTTTGAAAATTTTTTTCAAAGTGCGTTGATTTTGTCCCAATTTTAACGCACTTTGAAAAAAAATTTTCAAAGTGCGTAATTTTTTCAAAGTGCGTTGCCACAATGCCTTTGTGTTCTTTTGCTTCATTTTTAAATAATTTTGAAACTGATTATACATGTAGGTGTGGACTGTTTACAGATGTGTATTGTTTATAGATTTTTTATATTGACACTTGATCGTTATTTCCATCTTGTTAAACGTTCGGTGCATATCTATCTGATATTTATTATTGATATCGAAATATTTTAACAGTTTATAAAGGAGAAAGCATCATGCTAACTTATATTGCTTGAAACTATGGAACAACAAATTTGTGAAATTACGAAATATATAAATGACATAGCCGAGGAAGGGAATATGTGTACTACATGTGAATATAGTCTAAACTACAGCGATAATAATTATTTACAAAAGTAGAGTGCAAAATTTATACAGTCTTATTAACTTTGGGGAGAAATCCGGTTGCTAATAGAATAAGGTAAAGGTGGAGGTGCTGGACGATTATCCGGTCCCATTTCAGAATATTCATGAGGCAAGTCAGTGGATCCTGCAAAATAAAACAGGTACTCTTAAAGACTGCGAAATAATTTTGAATTTTAAATAATTACAAGAATTCGAAATCAGTTTAGTGCTTCCTTACGATTCAGCTGAGAATAATTTTTCACAACAGTGGCTTTCTTTTTTGATGATTTGGCCTTTTCTAGCAATATTTTAGTATTTTTTAATTTTCTAAAATGAAAAAGTAATAATTGAAATTATATTATCACTTAAAAAAATTAAATATAAACTGATAAATACCTGTCATTGTTAATATTTCACAATTACATCATTTCTTCTTCTTATTGTTTGTTGAATCTCTGTTAATCACAAACAAATCGTCTATGTAGTTTGAAACGAAATCCTACCTGAACAGAAAAATATTAAACCCAAAAGAGATGAAGAGGATAGCCACACAAACTCCAACAACAGAAAAAAATGCGATGGAATGTAGACAAATGTTCTCATTAGCCGGTTCTACTACACTGGTACCTTTGAATATATAAATTTTGATTTGAAATTATATAAATAAGAAATCCTTCAAATATAAAGAAATAGGTTTTTGATGCCTAGATATCAATCTTTCTATCCATTTCCATGAAAATCTTGCTCAACTTTTTAAACTTATGACAAAATGTAATAAAACCCTTCTCTGGTATACATAATTCATGTTAAAAACATTGCATCAATCATGCATAGAACTTAAGAAATGATGACTTTAAACGAGACTGCTGATATCTGTTTATATTCTTTCGACTTCTTTTGAACTATTTTCAGAAGTATTTTCATTGAAAAAGTTATAAGAATAAATATTTAAGTACATAAGTATTTAAGTTTGGGGTCTCACTTTAGGTCATAACATACAAATGCTAGTATACATAAAACTTGGGAACGAAATAATTGAAAGCACTCTTAACAGAAACTAACCATCAGCAAAGACGTTGGAACCGGGGGCTTATCCCCTCATTATTTGCAAAGATGGACATAATATAGGCATCAAACATTGGGGTGTGGGTTTATCCCCCCCAACACACACACTTTCAATTTGTTTCCGACGCCAATGACCAGTAAATCATTTCTTATCTATTCTTCTTCAAAACTAGTAATAAAAACTTAGACTTTTGCTTACGGTTGGTGTGACCGGTTGGCAAGTGATGCTCACTCCTCTAGGACACGTGATCCCACCTCTGCTGTTTTAGAGATCCATTTTTCCTCTGCTCCTGATTGCATTGCTTGCATATTGTTCGTTATTTCCAATTCTATTTGTTTGAAATAGCTCATTTTGTTCCTCATTTTACTTTAATTGTGGACCTACTTATCATTACTATGGTACTTTATAGAACTTATGTAGATATCATATTCCTTACTTGTTTTGTTTATCTATATCAATATCTCTAAGTTTTGTATCTTTTTAACGATTGATTGATTGACTGTATATTGTTTTACGTCCTGTTCGAGAATATTTCACTCATTACCAGTAATGCTACGTTCCCATTGTCGTGCGGTCAGTTACGCACGTCACGATACATCAATCGTAGTTGATCGCAGAGTTTTTATTGAATTTTATGCCAATATATGAAGTAGGTGTGTTTTCATACGTTTCCTTACGCTTTGATTATGCACATTCTTACTTTCCAATGTATTATGTCACGAAATTTGTGGACCGATATAATACTTATCATCTAATATGGTACTTTATAGGATCAAGATAGAACATGTACCCAGACAGACATATAAAAATCATATTCCATTATATTTTATCTATTGAAAATTAAGCTAAACATAAACATACAATCAATAATAATTTAAAGGTTGGTGACAACTTCATAAATGTGATGTTTGTAGTGTAACTATGGTCATATGTTATTGCTGTTAAAGTAGAGCAAAAGCAGCAGTATAACTATTTCTTGTTCAGGTTCAGAAGAAGATAGGATCTCCCCTCTTTCTTTTTTGTACCTGTTTTAGGTGGCATCTTTAAAATATTTTTCTAAAAATCAGACTATCAATCGGTATCAATTTTCCCGTTATTTTTGCAAGCTTAAGTACTCGTAATATAGCGTGATTGTCCGCAACAAAGCGTTAACACTCGTGTCTAATGGTGTTTCTTACGTCCGTATCAAATCGTCTCTGAGCGGGATTGATTGATTGGCTGTATATTGTTTTACGTCCGATGATCACGATATGAAAGCCAGAGAATATTTCATGCTCGATTACCAGTTAAGTAGGGCAAAAAAAATTTACGATCAACACGATTCACGAGTGAACACAAGATTTGTTTCGATTTGATACGAGAACTACGATTTGTCCACGGTCGAGTCCCCGATATCAATCGTGGCGCCAATCGTGATAGTGGGAACATAGCATAAGGGGCTTTACATTTAGACCTTTACTCGACACGAAAGTTTTTTGCTCGACAAAGAGGGTTTTTATGGTTTCATCCGAAGGACTCTCAATTTTCACTGCAATGTGCCAAATGTATAGCGATGAAACACTGCATTTTTCTTCGACGCTGATCCAGTTGCGGTCGCAGTTCGAACCTACTTTACAAAATAAATATATATTTATTACTTAACAATAAGAAATACATACCAAAAACCTGAACCTCACAAAGTTCAGCAATTGTTGTGTCACGCCGAGATCCCAATGGAACGACAACTCCGTCGCCGCGTTCGTTATAATATGTGACGTAGCGTCCCCGTTGTGCACACGCATGTTTGGAAAGAAGAGGCGGAAATGTGTCAGTATTTTTATAACATCGGTAACCATCCTTAAGTTTTGTCGTATTTGATATGAACAGAGAAAATCCTGCATGTTCAGACATACGCAAAGAATCTGAAAACAAATAAGAGTGGATAAAACTTCCTTTTCTTATTTTGAAAATCGAAAGATAGTTTTGAATGTCTAAATATAAATCTCGTCAATTTTTGAAGGTATTTGGTTTTTCTTTTCTCCTTTTTTCTTGGCTCATTTGCATATAAGCGCGTTACAAAGGCTTTATTTACCATTGTTATTACTGTCGTTTCTGTAGAAGACTTTGATGTTGTAGATTTCTTTGATCTCCCCTAGGTCCACTCTCCACCACACTACACGACCATACCTCGTTCTAGCACAGTTGCTTTCCCTCTGATTTGTGTTTCCATCCACCGCTAAGTCAGGACCATAAGGGGACTGAACTGAACTCTGCACGGTGCTCATGTTCCATGCAACATTTTCTGTAAAGTTTTTTACGATAAGTAAATATTACCAAGACTTCTTAGCTGAAATTTGAATAGTAGAAAAATATAATATAGAATTTAGATTTTACCAAACAATATACTTACCAAGTCCATGACAAGAAAAGGTAAATGCTAAGAAAAAAACCGATAGGATGCTCCATCTTTCAATCAAATAATATTTGGAATTCATTTTAAATTGGCATAAAAATGCCAAAATTATGAGTAAGATTTTCATCTGTCGTGAGCGACCAAGAATATACTTCTAATTTACCTGATTACTTCCTTTTGGGTGAATTCAATAGAATATATATTTCCTTCTTGTTGTAAACACTTGAACAATTCAAAATACCCTCCTCGTGTATTTGAATTTAACTACTAAATTACATAACAACTTTTTAAAACAAATAGAAATGTTGTTTATCCATGTGCAGGTCATATCATTTCAATACAAGATATATTTACTATACAATGTTAATTTCGATAAGTGAGTTTTATGATGAATGTCCCTTTGTCAAAGGATAAAAAATCGATGTTCCTTGACCTTTGATTATCTTTACATTGCCAAATGCGGAAAGAATCTTTGTTTTCAGTCATTGTTATAGAAGACAACCAAAACATAGGATTAGTATGAACCATGTTTTTCATTAAATACAGAAGTGGCCAGAAATATGTAATTTTTTTCTGTAATTGAAATGTTGATTACCTCTGTCGTTCTACAAAATTAATAGTGGATTAATTTCTAAATTAGATTTACAAAACATTAAAAAAAAATAAATAAATTGGATAAGAATTTTTTTTTTAATAGCGATGCTTAACGCTTTTGGCGAAACAAGACGTAACAGCTGTTATAGTAATCGATCTCAGCGCCGCGTTCGATACTGTAGACCACGATATATCAATAACAGTTCTTAACAAAACAGTATGAAATCTGTGGCTATAGAATCATACATGCGATTTCGTGGCTGCCATGTACATGTACTGTATATGTAAATTCCGTTTCATCATTTGTGTGTCAGCTGTAATGTAAATTTCGCAAAGCAGCGACGGGATATTGGACACTTCGAAAGAAGCTCTCTTTTACCTCTGTTGACTACCGTTCAATTCTAGGATATTCGATTTACTCAAAATTCTGACATTTATGTATGATTGATCAGAGGGTCAAGCAAATATAATAAAACTTTTGTCAAAATAAACGTCAAATAAATAATTGCGCTCTTCCCGAAATTTAGAAAGCAGATTTATAAAAACAGCTTAAAAATAACTTCCTCTGGGACTTTGATGCTAAATATATTTGTTGTTACTCTCCACGTGTATTGTGTACATATTAAATGTAAATATTTTTTTCAGTTTAACTGTAGAAGGCCATTGAACAGGTTTATGTAGAAATAAGCATTTAACCAAATAAATCAGGTTCGGTTTCAGATTCCTTGTGCTTTACAAAATCTAACATGTAAATTTCTTTTATAACTGAAAAAAAATAATTGTATGGATATTGTGAAAACCATACTATTTTTTACTAACAAAAGGCAATATTATTCAGTATACATAAAATGAATCAATAAGATAGAGAATGGCAAAAAGAAATAGGTTAAATTGCGTATATAACAAGAAGGAAATTAAATATTCTCTTTACATAAAGACGGAAAGTACAAATATCTATTATTTATAGCTGAAAATGTTCTGATTGTTTAGCAGTTATATAAATGGAATGCGTTGCAATAAAATGCAACACTCTTTTTTTAATAGTTTTGAATTTATTAATTATTATGCAAGCCCATTTACAATTTCTAACTTTCCCGGGCCAGGATAGTTAGTAAAGCAAAAATAACAGAGTAACATGTATTAATCAAAGCATTTCTACAAATGTCACCATCTTATTTTTAAACAAGTGAGTTTTTGTTAACTTCAGTAAAATGTCCATATTGTTTTTAATTTTATTTTTTACATAAGAAAGTAACATATCATCTGTTCCAGTTTTGTCCTGAACTCTACAAAACATTTTAAATTTATATATCTTATACATGTACGCTAAGAAAGACACAAAGGTATTTAAAAATTGTATTTTGAAATTCCGTTCAGAATAAAACCTCAAGATAACATTTTTCCACTGTACATCAAAACTTAAAACAGAACTCAGACTTTTCCATAAGATTTGAACATGTTCACAATCAAAAAGTAAATGTCTAATATCTTTAATTTTGTCACATATATTACAAAAAACAGATGTTCTATATTTGCACTTGAAAAGAAAACTGTTACAACACAATGTATTATATAACAATTTGTAATTAAATTCACATATTCTTTTGTACATAGATGTCTTTCACTTTGTTTCTATACATACATGTATCCTTCCAGCTCTATCGAGCAACAGAAAATAATTTTTTAAACATTAATTGATATCTTGTAATTTGAAAAATTGAATTCTTTAAATTTCTTAAAGAGTAAATTATCGTAAAAAAAATTACATTTTTTATCATAAATAAATATACACCATTGATAAAATTAAAATTACCCTTTCTTTTTTTTGTATGTATGAACAACAAGTCATATTAAATCGTAAGGATTTTTTATAGATTGCCTTTTTTGATATTTTATATTCACACATCCAATTCTGTTTTCGATCAAAGGACAATTCTTGTAGAGTTTTAAATTTTCCATTTTTGTTTCACAGGTCTTTGACATGTGTTATCCCACTTTTGATGCAATTTTTAAAACATATTGTTTTGTTTTAATATTTACAAAATACATTACTCGCATTTGCGTTAGTATTGTTTAAAAAGAAAATCAACATGATATTTCTATTGCTGATGAAGAACACCAAATTTCTTACATCTGTCGGATTATCGTGAGAGTTATTTTGGGTAAAAGCATTAATTGGTTCCATGTTTTATCAACAGAATTAACGCCATTTCCATACTTTATGAACTTTTGAGGTATATTGGTGTTGGTATTGGATTCTTGGGAATAAAGATCAAATATATAAGTTTCGTTTTTTGTTAACTTGTAACAAGTCATCATGGTTTAAAATTTTTAAAAAAGTTGATAGCATATGTATAGAATTATACCCCGTTAAATAGCTGGTGTATACATGTGCTCTAACTTGTAAAATAGGTTATTTGAAGAGTTCTGATTGGTTCGAATTCATGATATAATATAACATACAAATATTCTATTTGAACCTTTCCAATTTCTTTCATATTTTTGTCTTTGTCCATTTCATTTTTCTAATTATTGGGGAAAAGTTTCCTTGACATATATCATTCATTCAACGATACAAGATATGCATATGATAAATAGATAGATAGTAAAAGTGCTATCAATATAACCCTATGATTCATTGCCTGAATATTATGAGACTTAACAATACACACATTTTGAACAAAGCAGATTTTCTGCTCATTCAGAATTTTGACATAAAAACACCAATCTCCTGAAAATCATTTTTTTTCTCGTATGGATTTTTTAAAGAAAATTTCGCTATATATCTTTTCTGTAGTTTTATTACATTTTAATTTCTGAAATACATAAACGTCCTCTTTTCCTGAACTTAAATTTGTGTATGAATTAATAAAGGTTAAATATCGATAACAAACAGCCACGTGAATTCTACGTGATTTACTACTCACGATTTTCATCTAAAACGATCCGTTTCTGGTAACATGTTTTCTCAATTTTAATATTAATTTATCTGAGAGTTTTCAAAAATCAAGATATATAATCATTATAATTATGTGACATACCTTTCCATATGATTCTTTAAATGACACAATACCTGACATTAATATTATTATTCGTAGTCATTCATTAATCTACATAAAAAGAAATGTTTAATAATTTGAAACTGATAATTAAGCAGTAAGAATGATTAGTTAATAATTCATGAAAGATATACATTGTGTATTGAATCTTTTCTAGAAAATGAAATAAAGTGAAGAATTGAGCTTCAGTTGAGCTGCAGATAAAAGTGCTGATTGGAACTTTTCAATCATCAATTTTCCTTACTTATGCAGCGGTATACCTTCATCACCTGCTTACGAGGTTTTTATCCTAAGTTGATTCGATACGCAAGAGCATGCTCTACTTATCAACAATTTCTAAAGGAGATAAATCATTGACAAACAAGTTGCTGAAACAAAAATATCAACAGGTTATTTTAAAGTCATCATTTTGTTAGATCTATGGTCGATACAATGACCTTGTCAGCCAAATACAATTTATCAGTAAGTCATATGGTGATTGAAGTTTTTGTAACAGTAATTTTTAGACAATTTCTAACACTGAATTGACGACGGATTTTCCCGTTTTTTCCCGATTATAACAGAAGTACAAGGCGGGTGAGATCGGTCGACAGGGGATGCTCACTCCTCAATGACACCTGATCCCATCACTAATATTTTGGAGGTTCTTATATCCTCTGCTTTTATTCTGTATTTTTTAATGTACTTCTGAGCTTGAATACTGTTCATCTGAGGTGCGATTAGGCGCCATTAAGAAGTAGACATCTCCTGCCAAATGGTCACACCAGCGGTGTAATCCTTGTCATGATCGGAAACTAACGGGAAAATCTGACGAAAATTCGGTGTGTAAATAATTATTTCTCCTTTGTAATACAGCTACTATAAAATTATTTTAATTAATTGTAGTTGAGTTGGGTATCGTACATGGATATGATATTATATTACACAATATTTTAATAGAATCAATTTTAAGCGTTAAAGTCTAAGAGGCGCCCGCTTGACGAAGTCGTGGAGCGTCTCAATAATATGGAAAAAGAACGTGACGTTGTGAAAACAAAATGACGTAAAGCAAACAAAAAATAAAACCAATACCACAGTCAACGGATTTTTTATGTAGACTGGTACGGAATGCGATACATGGATATAAGGGTATGAGATATGACGGTGTCAGTTAAAATGCTTTAGTCTTTGTCTCTAACCTCTTACATAAGATTTGCTTTTTAATCTCAAGACATCTTTCGATAAGGGCATTTTAAAGACAGGAATTCATCCAGGAATCAGTATTTGGACTATAAAAAGGGCCTGATAATTATTATTTGCCAAATGTTCTCTGAAGGTTTTATAAAATCACTTCGTATCGTTCTAAAGCATATTCAACAGTTATAAGTTATTGTGCTAAGGAGATTCTTTATGGTGTATGTCAACCATGTGTAAAGGATGTCTCTTGTATATATGTTTACAATAACACGCAGGATTAAGAACGCAGTAGATATTTTATGTAAACTTAAATGTATATTTAACCTTTTCATGCATTGTAAAATGTATGTGTAAGCATCTACAATCTATATAAATTCAAAGGCAAAATGAAAATAAAAAATTCAAAGTTATTATTCTCACTTTTATTCATAGCCATTAAGCTGAAAACATTTCTCGTAGATGATCAAATGCTACTCTTGAGTACTTTTGGTCACAAATACAAGAATATCATTTAGAACACAATCTGCTTGATTCATATTGTTGTATTCTGAAATAAAGTTATTCCGAATGTACAAACAATGTTACGTTTAAGGAAACTAAAGTACTGTTCATGATGACTTCTTTCTGATCACCATTTTATACATTGGAAGTGCATGCTTGATCTTAAGTTGCTCTCCAACCGGAACTAATGCCAATTTCTCATTGCTTTAAAAACAACGTTTCTTGTAAAGAAGAACTTCGTATCTGTAACAGATTTGTTATCATGGAAAATGTACTCAGGATCCCACTGGAATTAAATGATCACAGTTTGAAATAAATTTCAATGAAAATTTCACGTTGTGAATCAGTTTTAAGTATTTAGATTTCAATTTTGGGTTTGACATTAGATCTTCAGGGCTGAGCCAATTATCTATATCATTCATCTGGTATTTTGACAATTTTAGTACAGTCATTATTCTCTCCTGTCGCAACAAGATGGCGGGCAGATTGGCCTACATTGTCCACAACGTTGAAATCACTTCCGTCTTTGATAAGGTATTCGGCTAATTTGAAATTACCATCCTCCACAGCTATCAGTAAGGGAGTTTTTCAAGAGTTGTCGTTTTTGTTCACGTCTGCCCCTGAGAAAAAAATATAACTTGAAAATGTTCTCTACCTCTGATTTACTAAACATCATATCTTAAATATACAAATCAACTTAATATTGCTTTTCAAATAAATATTTTGATCCTTTTATGTGATATCGTTAAAAACTGATTTTGTTAACTTTTCACCATGTCCATATTGTTCATTTCAATTGCAACCATTAGTGCAGTTCTACCATCGTCATTCATCATATTGACGTCAGCGAAGGGTAGGAGACCCGTCAGAGTATCCATATCACCATAAATGATATGGGTAAATATCATAGGTTCTCCATTTTCATCCAGAACGTTAACATTGGTTCCAGATTTAATTTTCGTTTGGACTGCAGTGATGTCTCCGTTGAAAACTGCTTCATAAGGAAAGAGATAGAGTTTGAAGCATTTATTTTGTTAAGTTCGATTCAACTGATAGTCAATGACTGTACTGATAAATATTTTGTCAACCTTTTAAGATATCCTAATGTAACTTGATTAACATACCAATACCTCTTTCAAAGACATTCCCTGTATCCTATTGGTCGACACAACACATTAAAGTAAAGAGAGAGAAATTCTCATTTGCTACAGGATTTATCCTTCGGTAGACCACAATGTGTAAACAAATTTAATGTACATTTTCCTTGACTTGTCAAAGAAGATGAGTTTTTCACTTCATAAATTTGACAGAAGAGGGGTTTTACAACGAAGTGAAACATATATTCCAACTAAAATAATTAATTCAAGGAATCATACAGGAATAAAAAAAAATAACTTGATATTTACTTTGTTTATTAAACCAGTTTCCTTTTTGAGAGAATAGCCATTGGAACAGGCAATAAAATTGCTATTTGCTAGAGGAAAGCAACCAAATTATTTGTTCTAAAATTTGTAGATTACTTGATTGAACAAATAAATTTATTTAGTTTACGTTTTATTGATTTGTTTTTTTTATCTGCTTTACTTATCAATTTTTTTTTCGAAGAACAATGAAGGGAAAGTAATACTTATTAAAACTACTTACCCCGGGTTAATTGATTCCATTTTTTTTCTTTACTCTTCAGCCTTGTTCTTCTGTGAGATTGTTATTAAAATAATTTAAAATTGGTGTCAACAAAATAAATTTAGTTACTTTCGTGGGGAAACTCTACAATTACAAAAATTGCTCAACGATAATTATTTTGTCAAGTACGTTGTATCATACAGACAAACTTTTTGTCATTGGCAACTTATTTTTTCTTTACTATTTTATTTCTCAATTTTAATATTACCTTATACTGTTTATGGTACCGCGTGATTTAATGGTATAATTATCTTATCTGAGAGTTCAAAATCAAGACATACAATCATCGAATAACGTGACTTACTACTTCATATGACTACTTAAATGTCACAATATCTGACAATAATTGCTCTTATTATTAAGCAGTACAAATGATTTGTTAATAATTCAAGAAAGATAAACTAAACTTTCACAAGAAAAAGAACAAAACTTGAAGAGCTGACTCAAATTGTAAGAAAACAATCTTCTATAGTATTACGATTATATACGTGCATATTCAATAATATATGCTAATCCACAATCAAACATTTGTGAGACATAAAACCACTGACTACGTACGTATGTCATTATGCACATACCTTGATAAAAATCTCTTTTAATCTTTAAGTATTGCAAATTTTCCGAAAGTTTTACAAGCTGTAAATGTATTTTAAAAATAGGAATGTTTCTTTGTTGATTTTGTACATTAACTTCATATAGAAATCCGGATATATTTTAACAATTGTTGAGTTGGGTATCACACATTGATGATTTAGATCATAACTCATTAATGCTATTAATAATAAATTTGAGACATGGACAAAAACGAAAAATATAGTTTATATTGCTTTTTTTATGTACTGTTAAATGGATGTGTAAATAAATACATCCAATATGAATGCAAATGTAAAACAATAATAAAAACCAAAAAGTTCTTATTGTTTTCAGCATAGTTTTATTCATGGTTTTTTATTAAAGTGAAAATAATTCTCTCAGATAATCACAGGCTCCTAATAAGTACTTCTGGCTTTTGTTCACACAGGTATTAGGTTTTAACATTACTCCTGTTTGCTATATTTTGATACATGTACATTCACGTTCTTAGAAAATGAAACCTCTGTTTCTAGTAACTCCTTTGTAATCTTCATTTTATATATGGATGCTACATGCTCAGTCTTAGTTTCCTCTCTGATCGGAACTCATACCAGTCGCATATTTTTCTTTACTGTGATACCTCATCATGTAAAGAAACATTTCGTATCTATCTGCAAAGGTACAGATTGGCTATTATATCAAAGAAATTGTATTCAGGGTACCACTGGAATTATATGATCACAATTTGAAATAGCCTTCAGTGACGTTTTCACTTTGTGAATCAGTTTTAAATATTTAGATTTAAATTTTGGGTTGGACATTACATCTTCCGGGCTGAGCCAATTGTCTATATCCTTCATCTGGTAACCACAGTTAAAAAGTATTTTGACAATTTTTGTACAGTCATTATGTTCTCCTGTTGCCACAAGATGGAGGGCAGATTGACCAAGGTCGTCCACAACGTTGACGTCACTTCCGTGCTTGATCAGGTATTCTGCAATTTTAAAATTACCACCCTCCAAAGCTATCAGTATGGCAGTTTTTCCAGAGTTGTCTTTTTTGTTCACGTCTGCTCCTGAAAAAAATAATATGATTTTAAAATTTGTTCCACCGGTATCTATGCTATACTTAACATCATATTTAAAAAAAAAATATTAAATAGCTTTCGAAATAAATATTTTGATCTTCGTATATAAGTGAATTTTTAAAAACTTACCTGATTTCACGATCTTTTTCACCATGTCCATATCGTTCATTTCGACTGCAACCATTAAAAGTGTTCTACCATCATCATTCGTCATGCTGGTATCAGCATAGGGTAGGAGAACCTTAAGAGTATCCATATCACCATTAACGATTGGGATAAATATCAGAGGTTCTCCATTTTCATCCAGAACGTTAACATTGGTTCCAGATTTTATTATCTTTTGGAGTGCAGTGGTGTCTCCATTGTAAACTGCTTCCATAAGGAAAGAGATAGAGATAGAAGCATTCATTTTATTAAGTTTGTTTCAAGTAATTGTTTGTGAATCAGTTTTAAATATTTAGATTTAAATTTTGGGTTGGACATCAGATCTTCCGGGCTGAGCCAATTGTCTATATCCTTCATCTGGTAACCACAGTTAAAAAGTATTTTGACAATTTTTGTACTGTCATTATTCTTTCCAGTTGCCACAAGATGGAGGGCAGATTGACCAAGATCATCCACAACGTTGACGTCACTTCCGTGTTTGATCAGGTATTCTGCAATTTTAAAAGTGCCACCCTCCAAAGCTATCAGTAAGGGAGTTTTTCCAGAGTTGTCGTTTTTGTTCACGTCTGCTCCTGAAAAAAATATAATCTAAAAATGTATTCTACTGGTATCTATGCTATACTTAAAACCATTTATTAAAAAAAATCACCTTATTACAGCTTTTGAAATAAATATTTTGACAATCGTATACAATTTTTTGAAAACCTACCTGATTTCATTATCCTTTTCACCATGTCCATATCGTTCATTTCAACTGCAACCATTAAAACTGTTCTACCATCATCATTCGTCATGTTGGTATCAGCATAGGGTAGGAGTACCTTTAGAGTATCCATACCACCATTAATGATTGGGGTAAATATCAGAGGTTCTCCATTTTCATCCAGAACGTTAACATTGGCTCCAGATTTTATTATCCTTTGGAGTGCAGTGGTGTCTCCTTTGTAAACTGCTTTCATAAGGAAAGAGATAGAGCTAGAAACATTCATTTTGTTCAGTGTGTTTCAAATAATAGTTATTAAATAACTGTACCAATGTATATAATGTCTGCCCTTTTATACGTCTAATCTAATCTCATTAATATACCAATAACTCTTTCAAAGACATTCTCTGAATCCTATTGGTCGACACAATACCTTGAACTACACAGAGAGAGAAATTCATTTGCTGCAAGATTTATCCCTCGGCAGACCACAATTTGTAAAAAATAAATTTACATTTTCCTTGAGTTGTCAAAAAATGAGATTTTTACTTTCATCAATCTGACAAGAGAAATTGAGTTTTATAATGAGGTGAAACATATATTCCAATTAAACGAATGATACAATGAATCATACAGGAATAAAAAAAATTAATCACTTTATTTATTGGACCGGTTTTCGTCTCTTTTTTTTTTAGAGAATAGCCAATGGTACACGCAAAAAATTGCAGTTATCGAGTGAAAAGTAATTCGCTTGTTCTAAAGTTAATAAATTTATTGATTAAACAAATACATCTGTTTTGTTTACTGTTTAATGATTTGTTTGTTTTTTTTTAAATCTGTATTTCTAATCAATTTCTTTTTTAAAGAAGAACAATGAAATTTTATTTGAGGAAAATTTATACTTATTAATTCTATCACACCGGGTACATCCAATACACTCATTATACCCTCCAGCCTTGTTCTTCTGTGAGACTGAATTAAAATTATTCAGGATTTGTGTCAACAACAAAATTAGTTACTGAACTTGGGAAATATTACAATAAAAATGTTCAACTAATATTATTTTGCCAATTACTTAGAATCACTTGAACAATTCAACCGGATTACTTTTTAAATTTTAAATATATCTGAACATGAAATCTTTGGATATTCACTTTCTTCCTCATATTGTATTATATTTGTATTTGCTTATGTTCAACTTATTAAGCACGGGAAATTCATAGAAGAAATTCATGCTCTTTAAATCCTACTGAACTTGAAATAAGATTTAATACAGTCTGACACACATGTTTTTATTTGAAAATGTAACGACAAAATATTTTTGGTAGAATAGCATGATAACTTCAACAATTTATAATTTTTTCTTATTTATATAGTAAAATACAATTAAAAGTTGCATTTGCGGTTATACAAGTTTTTTTTCATACAGACAAGTGCTAAAACATGAAAAATTACACATAATAAATTAATTATACAGTTTTATTAACAATCTAGTTTCTACTTAAAAAGTTCCAATTCTGTATTCTATAGGGCCGATTTCAAGATTTTTGTAGATTGCTATTTATAATTCCAAGATTTTCTGTTTATTTACATGACTAATGTAAAGTAATGTCCCTAAATACAAAAATTTCACCAAAATACAATGGAGGAGATATCAAAAATACAGATTATTTTACATACCTGGGAAGTGTGGTAACACCAGATAGCGGAGCTGACAAGGACAAAATATCAAGATTAGGTAAAGTCAGAGGAGCCTTTGTCAAGCTTAAGAATATATGGAAGTCAAGCAACATAAGCAGACATACTAAGATCAAATTGTATAATAGCTGTATACTATCTGTCCTAATGTATGGTGCTGAAAGCTGGAGGTTGACTGAAAGTGACATTAAGATGCTATCAAGTTTTCATAATGGGTGCCTCAGAAAGATCTTGAGGATATTTTGGCCAACAAAAATAACCAACAAAAATTTGTATGAAACAACCAAAACAACAGACATGAGGACTTTACTAATAAAATACAGATGGAGGTGGATAGGCCATGTCTTGAGAAAGCCCACAAATGACATCATAAGAGTGGCACTTAGATGGACCCTAGAAGGGAAGAGGAGGAAAGGCTGACAAAAACAACGTGGGGGCGAACAGTAGAGAAAGAGTTTAAGGAGATAAATCTTACCTGGGGAGAGATGGAGAAGATAGCTAAGAATAGAGAGGAATGGAAATGCCTAATCCTACATGTAGCCCTATGTGCCTCCGGGTGCAATAAGGACTAGGTAGGTACATGTCTAATAAAGATAGGTGATCAAAGAATATGAAACTCATCTCGACGAATGCAATCAATAAGTAGGCAAATCTAGTGTCGTATTTTTTATTTAGAGTACATCCGTAATATATCCATGCAGGATTTGTAAAGTAGCTACTTAGAAATGAATTATCTAAAACCGTTCCCTTTGTATAATCAAGTAAATTTTAGTCGTATCAAGCATTTAAAGCAAGTAACATTATACAATTATTGACTAAGTTCGAGGGCAACGTGCGTTTTGTCGGATCGAGGGTCGACAAAACGCATTTTGACCGAGAATATAGTCAATAAGTGTTTTGTTATACCTTTCAATTTTTTTACATACATGTATTTTGTACTGTCTTCCGTGATGTAACATCAGGACCGTCACTTTTGAACACCAACGTGTGAAAATGAGATTAAGCTCCACCCATTCTGTGACGTAAGCGGTTTAACATCTCATCGACCTGTCCAACATCGCACTCCGCGGTCCAACATCGATTTTTTTATGCCCGCTCAGCATTAGAAATGTTAAACCTTTTTTTGAATAGATTTGTATAGGAATAAATTCAAGGTAAAACAAATAGTGTCAATCACTAAGTGCTCTTTCCATGCATGTTCAATCATAAATAACATATTATAAGAGATATTTGTGAAAAGTAAGTCTAATTCGCGTCAGAAAGTGTTCATTCTAATCTACATCATCCATGCAAATTTCGATTTAATTATGGCTAATATTCACTCATTCGCAGAATGAAGGTGTGATACAGCATCCAATGTAGAAGTGTCAATCCATCATCATGTTTGTTCTAGATAGAGGTTATAGTTACTAGAGAATAGAACTGCTCCAAAAACTTTCATCCTGGTTATACTCATCTAGAAAATGCAAATCAACTTCAGCATCCGAAGCAAATTTGGTAGTGGCTGTCCATTAGATGCATCCTCATCTTTATATATGTACATTTTAGACAAATGAAAGAGTTCTCATTTGTAAATGCTATAAAATGACCTACCGGTGTGCTATGTGTACACGTTTTAGATTTGCTACTATTTGTGTCTTTGTCGACCACAATATTGTGGAACAATTTATCTCACATAAAAGATATGCATTGAAATGATAAATAATTAGTAACAACGACATAATCTCGTGATTCATTTTTTTCTTGATTTTGCTTGCCTGAAGTTAATGAGACGTTTTTATTTTTCATGTTTAAATGTTTGTTTCTAAGCTAACTAACATTTAAACATGAAAAAAAAAACAGCCGCCTAAAATTATTTTTTGTTAGAAAATTGTCATTTCCACAAATATATCTAGTATTTCTTTACAAAACGCAAGTTTTGTTGTAAATAAATAGCTGTATATGAAATAACGTATATTCAGTACGTGTATATTACATTAACACAAACGTGTTGGCATTGACTACTCACGATTTTCTACTATTTTTTCCCCTCAATTTCAATATTGACTTATACTGTTTATGGTACCGCGTGTTTTAATGGTGTTATTATTTTATCTAACAGTTTTCACAAAAATCAAGATATATAATCATAGAATGATTTGTCTTACCTTTTCATATGACTGTTTTCATATAACTGTTTTGATGTCACAATATCTGACATTTATTATTCGTAGTCATTCATTGATCTGCATGAAAAGAAATATTCAATGATTTCTCTGATTATTAAGCAGTACAAATGATTTGTTAATGATTCAAGAAAGATATATATTTCAATTTTCAGAAGAAAAAGAACAAAACTTGAAGAACTGAACTGACTGAAATTCTACAGTATTACTATTATATACGTTCATATTTAATAATGAAGGATATGGAGATAACGAACAGTATTCAAAATGAAAGCCCATAAAACAATACAAAAAAGGAGCTGATAATATAAGCTAATCTACAATCAAACATTTGCATGACATAAAACCGCCGACTACGTATTTCGTTATGCACATTCATTGAAAAAAATTCTTTTAATCTTTAAGTACTGCAAATTTTCCGAAAGTTTTACAAGTTGTAAATGTATTTTAAAAGTAGGAAAATTCTTTTCACAGTTTCTTTGTTGACTTTGTACATTAACTTCATATAGAATATTATATATATTATTTAGCAATTGTTGAGGTGGGGATGATACATAGATGATTTAGACCATAACTCATCTATGCTGCATTTGAGACACGGACAAGAACGAGGAATATAGTTTATGTGACTTTTTCATGTACTGTTAAATGGATGTGTAAATAGATACATGCAATGTGAATGCAAAGGTGAAAACAATAATAAAAACCAAAAAGTTCTTATTGTTTTCAGCATAGTTTTATTCATGGTATATCATTTACGTGAAAATAGTTCTCTCAGATAATCACAGGCTCCTAATGAGTACTTATGGCTTTTGTTCAAACAGGTATTATTTTCAACATGACTCCTGATTACTATATTCTGATACATGTACATTCACGTTCGCAGAAAATGAAAGCTCTGCTTCTGGTGACTCCTTTGTAATCTTCATTTATTACATGAATGCTACATGCTCAGTCTTAGTTCCCTCTCTGATCGGAACTCGTATTTTTCTTTACCGTGATATTTCATCATGTAAAGAAACATTTCGTATTTATCTGCAAAGGTACAGATTGGCTATTATATCAAAGAAATTGTATTCAGGATCCAACTGGAATTATATGATCACAATTTGAAATAGCCTTCAGTGACGTTTTCACTTTGTGGATCAGTTTATAATATTTAGATTTCAATTTCCGGTTAGATATTAGGTCTTCCGGGCTGAGCCAATTGTCTATATCCTTCATCTGGTATCCACAGTTAAAAAGTATTTTGACAATTTTAGTACAGTCATTATGTTCTCCTGTTGCCACAAGATGGAGGGCAGATTGACCAAGGTCGTCCACAACGTTGACGTCACTTCCGTGCTTGATCAGGTATTCTGCAATTTTAAAATTACCACCCTCCAAAGCTATCAGTATGGCAGTTTTTCCAGAGTTGTCTTTTTTGTTCACGTCTGCTCCTGAAAAAAATAATATGATTTTAAAATTTGTTCCACCGGTATCTATGCTATACTTAACATCATATTTAAAAAAATATTAAATAGCTTTTGAAATAAATATTTTGATCCTCGTATATATGTGAATTTTTAAAAACCTACCTGATTTCACGATCTTTTTCACCATGTCCATATCGTTCATTTCGACTGCAACCATTAAAAGTGTTCTACCATCATCATTCGTCATGCTGGTATCAGCATAGGGTAGGAGAACCTTAAGAGTATCCATATCACCATTAACGATTGGGATAAATATCAGAGGTTCTCCATTTTCATCCAGAACGTTAACATTGCTTCCAGATTTTATTATCTTTTGAAGTGCAGTGGTGTCTCCATTGTAAACTGCTTCCATAAGGAAAGAGATAGAGATAGAAACATTCATTTTGTTAAGTTTGTTTCAAGTAATAGTTATGAAATAACTGTACTGATGAATATTTTGTCAGCCCTTTTATACATCTTGTCTAACCTCATTAACAAACCAATAATTCTTCCAGGCATGTTGTCAATCCTATTGGTCAACACAATATCTTTAACTACACAGAGAGAAAATTTCATTTGCTGCAAGATTTATCTTTCGGTAGACCACAATTAGTAAAAAAATAAATTTACATTTTCCTTGACTTGTCAAAGAAGATGAGTATTTCTCTTCAAAAATTTGACAGGAGAAATGGGGTTTTACCATGAAGTGAAACATATATTCCAGTTGAAATAATTAATTCAATGAATCATACAGGAATAAAAAATTAATTTGATTTTCACATTGTTTATTGGACCAGTTTCCTTTTTTGAGAGAATAGCCATTGGAACACGCATTAATATTGCCGTTCGCGAGTGGAAATTTCGTTGACTTATTAATTAAATTAATATTTGTATTTAGTCTTAAATAATATGTTTTTTCTGCATTGCTTATAAACATTTTGGTCAAAGAAGAACAATGAAATTTTATTTCAGGGAAATTCCTACTTATTAATTCTAATAAAAGCCCATCCAAACTATAAACGTTTCAAACATCTTCTCCTGTGAGATTGCTATTAAAATTATTTAAGATTGTGGTAGTTATCTAGATTTTTTAGATTAACTGCCGAGATCCATGTTTAATTTACACAGGTAGTCAAAGCTCCCCTTGACGAATGCTATCTGTACATAAGGCAAATCTCATATCATATTTTTCTAATTTGTTTACATCCCCATGATCAATATCCATGAGAAGTTTTGTTTAAGTAGGATGTATCATTACTTTAGAAACGAATCTTTTCAAAAAACGTTTACCCTTTTACAAATCAATAAACGTTTGGTCGGATTCCGTATCCAGAGCATGTAAGATAGGATCAAACACTAAATGCACCATTCATGCAAGTTTAATCATAAATATCATAACAGACATTTTTTGTAAATAAGGTCCCATTCGAGTCACAAAGTATGGAACATATGGAGATTACGAACAGTATTGAAGATCAAAAGTCCATAAAACAATACAAAATAGGAGTAGAGCAAACAAAGACCTCGAAAATATTAGAGGTGGATCATGCACCATGGAGGAGTGAGCATCCCTGCAGTATACATGTGTTCTGAATTGTTAATTGAGGCTTTTTCAGAAAAAGGTCTCGATTTTTTTTTTTTTGCATATTGTTTAACGTTTCTCTCGAGAATTTTTCACTCATATGGAGAAGCCACCACTTGCCGGTGGAGAGCTGCAAATTTTGTCTTATAATACCCGGCACTTACGGCCATTGAGCAGTGTGGAATATTTTTCGTGCGACATGGGACTCCGGTTTATACGGTGTCATCCAAAGGACCGGTTTCCACGTCGCACAATGGGATTCTAACCTGCGACGTAAGGATCAACTCCTTACTCCACGACTCAAGAATAGACGCTCTAATCATTTTGCCACCAGACGGGCGAAGTCTCGTTGGTAAATACTATAATATGACTTACAAATGTGCTATTTGTACACATTTTCGATTTGCTATACATTTGTGTCTTTGTCAACCACATCTTTCCATTAATTGATGCACATTTTCTCCAACATAAAAAAACACATTAGATTGATAAATAAATAGTAAAAGCGGCTTAACCTTATGACTCATTTTATTGACTTTATCAGCCGCCTAAAGATCATTTATCTTGTTTGATTTTTATTTTTTAAAAATTATTTTTCTGCATTTTAACTAGTTTCCCTAAATGCACATTATGCTGAATCTAAATATCTGTATATTTTATAACTAAAATTCAGTACATAACAACCAGACACTAGCGTTTCGATTAACTACAATTTCACAATTATCTACTATTTTTATTTCAGTTTGAATATCAACTTATGCTGTTTATGGTACCGCATGATTTAATAATTTAATTACCTTATCTAAGAGTATGCAATATTCAAGATGTATAATCATCGAATATTTATACTTGCGTTTTCAAAAATGATTGTTTAAATGTTATTATACCTGACATATATTATTCGTAGTCATTTTTTGATCTCCATTAGACATGTTCAATAATTTCTTTCAGTTTTAAGCAGTACAAATGATTTGTTTAAAATTCGATCATGAAATATATTTTATTGGACCCTTACAAGAAAAAAAAAAGAAAAAAGAATTGATCAGACTCAAATTGTAAGAATTTTTTCTGTCATACCATTATATATGAGGGGCATTTCAAAAGTCCTGAGAACTGTGTAATAGAAAATTTACCATTTCACGGAAAATATTTAGTTTGATATCATTGGAAAGATCAGAAAAATATACACATATTGTGACGTCACTTTGTAATTTTTATGCATATTTACTTATTTGATACATGCTAATTCATAATAATGATATTTGTTAGATTAAACTATTGACAAAGTATGTCATAATGCACATTCAATGAGAATCATTTTTCCTTCTAAACTTAGAGTTTATTGCAAATTATCCGTACGTTTTACTCTCTATTTATGGATTTAAGAAGGAATATTCACAGTTTCTTCATTTCCTTTAGAATTCCAGATTTTATTTAACAATTGTTGAGTGCAGTATCGTACATCTAAACGATAACCTATTTAACTACGTTCGATCCTGATATTTAAAGTCTTAAACTTTTTCAGCCAAGTATATTTTTAGTTTTTGCATACATAGCTTAAGGGGTCAATACGCTTCTTTTGGCGCTACAGTACATTTAATATGACCTTTTTGCACTGAAATTTGTGTCTTAATCAAAAATAATATTTTTGACGTTTTCCCTCCAATATTTTTATCCAATTAAAGCATGAAACAAAATAAACTCTAAGTTTGTTTAAAAAAAGACATTTAAAATTGTGACTAAGAAAAAGTTTCAAATTGCTTCGAATAATCAATTATTTGACATTTCTGCACTAATAAAATGTGATTTTTCTGGCATTGAAAATTTAATAAGCAAGAAAATTATTTTAAAGTCTTAAAATTTTTCTGATTTTAAGCAAATAGGTCAAATTTATCTTGAATATTTAGAAAAGAACATCAAAAGTTGGGGTACATGTATATGATGTAAATTTTCAGATATTACTAAAAAAGTGTCAATTTTACGTTAAAATTGGTTCAATTTTCCCCCGGATTTTCAGAATATATTTATTATATTTGTCACACTTTGTTGATAGAATTCATAAGAAATAATTTAATAGATATTTCAGAACCAGTATAACAAGTACACATTTCACTGCAAAAAACAGCTTTGTGTGCAACCAGGATGGGAAAATAGGAATCCAAAATTAAGAGTACTGATATAGTTCAAAATGGAAAAACTGATCATTTTCGTCTAAAAAACCTTCCGCCACAAAATATAGCCCCTAGCTTAATTCTACTTGAAGGGAATTTAATCGCGGTTTTTTCATTGAATATAGTTAAATTTGTACTGTATAATTCAGATTTAATGTTAGAACTTATAAACGATGCAGAATTTTATTAATAAAGGACCTGACCAAAATATGCTAAAAATCTCAGGATCGAACGTCATTAAGCTGCATATAAAACACGAACAAGAACGTGAAATATAGTTTATGTTTATGTGACTTTCATGTACTGTTAAATGAATGCATAAATAATATATACAACATGTATGCGAAGAAGAATAATAATAAAAACAAAAAAGTTTTGTTTTCATTTTTATTCATAGTATTTCACTTTAGTGAAAATACCTCTCTCAGAAAATCACAAGCTCTTTAACATGGATTTTGTGTACTACATTATGATGCTAGTTCTGATACTAGTACATACACATACATGTTCTTGGAAAATGAAAGTTCTGTTATTGATTACTCCTTTGTAATCTTCACTTTATACATGGATGACCCATGCTCAATCTGAATTCTCTCCCTAATCGGCCGAACTCATACCAGTCGCATACTGCTTTACCATGACATTTCATCTTATAAAGAAGAATTTCTTAATATCTGCAAAGGTGCAGATTTGTTTTGTTATCATGGATAGTGTATTCAGGATCCCACTGGAATTATACGGTCACAATTTGAAATAGCCCTCAGTGACACTTTCACTTTGTGGATCAGTTTTAAATATTTAGTTTTCAATTTTGGGTTGGACATAAGATCTTCAGGGCTGAGCCAATTATCTATATCCTTCATCTGGTATCCACAGTTAAAAAGTATTTTGACAATTCTAGTACAGTCATTATTTTCTCCTGTTGCCACAAGATGGAGAGCAGATTGACCAAGGTCATCCACAACGTTGACGTCACTTCCGTGTTTGATCAAGTATTCTGCAATTTTGAAATTGCCGTCCTCCAAAGCTATCAGTAAGGGAGTTTTTCCAGAGTTGTCTTTCATGTTTACGCCTGAACCTGAAAAATAAATGTAAAGATTTTTTTGAAAAAAAATATTTCTCTGATGCTTCACTGAAATTCAAATCTAAAAGTCAAAAAATCTACATCTTATAGTTTTAGAAATAAATATTTGAATCATCTTTTGTGATATCTTTGAAAATTTTGAATCTATAAAACCTACCTGATTTGATTAATGTTTTCACCATGTCTATATCGTTCATTTCAACAGCAACCATAAGAGCTGTTTTGTAATCATCATTCGTCATGTTGACGTCAGAGTAGGGTAGGAGAACCTTAAGAGTATCCATATCACCATTGACGATTGGGGTAAATATCAGAGGTTCTCCATTTTCATCCAGAACGTTAACTTTGGTTCCAGATTTTATTATCTTTTGGAGTGCAGTGGTGTCTCCATTGTAAACTGCTTCCATAAGGTAAGAGATAGAGGTAAAAACATTCATTTTCTTAAGTTCGTTTCAAGTGATAATTATGAAATAACTGTACTGAAAAATATTTTGTCAGCCTTTTTATATATCCTATCTCATTTCATTAACATACCAATAATTCTTTCCATGGCATACTCTGAATCCTATTGGTCGACACTCAAACAAATACACCAGCTCATTTGCTACAGGTTTTATCCTTCGGTAGACCACAATTTGTCAAAATTAAATTTACATTTTCCTTGACTTGTCGAAGGAGATGATTTTTTTTTATTTCATACACTTTCAAAGGAGAAACTGGGTTACACAACCGAGTGAAACATATACTCCAACTGCGAACATAAATTCAATGATTCATACATGAATAAGAAATTATTTTGATTTTTACTTTGTTTATTGCACGTGCATCCTTTTTTAAAACGACAATAGAAATTAAAACGCAATAAAATTACTGTTCTCAACTGGAAGTCAACATATAAGTCAACCCGTAAAATCGTGGACAAAACGTTTTTCTCGAAAAGTAATGGGCGCACTAAGCTGAAAATTTCAGTAAATGTTTATTTATCATATCTAAGTGCATGATAATTGTTCTGATAAAATATAGGCAAAAATAAAGATTTCATTATGCTTGAATGTGCACGAGATATTGTCCTACGGCGCAGGGTAAAAAAACCAAGGTTTTATTAAAGAATACACAAGTTTGAATTCAAAATAAAAGTTTTAAATACATACGATTTGGATTAAAATTATCATAATTCAATTCCACAATAAATTTTGTAGTCTTTGTAAAAAAAATTAATGGATTTGCTTAATTTTTGGCAGTTTCTGGAGCATTCGAAATAGGAAAGTGGTAAACACAACACATGAAAAATGGCGACGTTTTCTGACGTTACGGCGCACCGGAGAACAGTTCAGTTTTATTTCGATGTTGTAATGACACCTATAGAGACTTGAAATGATCATAGAAGAAAAAGATTATAAAAATATCACCATATCTTAAGTATACAAATGAAATAGGAGTTTTCTTAGCGAAGTTTTTTTTTTATCGAGTCCCTGGGGAGTACAAAACATACGGACAAACTCCTAATGTAATAGCAAAAGACGCTGTCACAGTGGACCGCAGATATGAGATTTTCTATTAGTTGAATGATGGTGAGAATATTGTCCGTAACTTACTTATAAATCTTCAGAAGATCGCATGAGGGTGCCAACTGGTTCTTCGACTGTTTATGGAGACTAAAGAATGTGTATCAATGAAATTCCTAAATTGAAGTCGGACTCATCCAACTTCATTTTCAGCAAAGATAAAACGTGACGCTGTTTTAGACACTTTGACGTTATAATCCATGCGCCTTAAGGTGATACAATACATGGCATAAAATCTCATAATTTGTTTATTTATGCATATATTTATCTGAAATTTGCTGTGTATATTACTAAAATATGTATAAAATAATAGTGAAAATTTCAGAACGCAATGATGTTTATTTTTCACACTAGACAACTTGTGCACGATTTTACGGAACAACCCTCGTACATTCCTAAAGTTTGTAGTCTTATTGTTTGAATGTATAAATGTATTTAAATTGATCTTCACTGATATGATTTTGTAATTAATCAGCCTTGCTTATAAAACGTTTGTTCAAAGCCGAACAAATGATTTACATTTGAGGAAAATATATGCTTGTTCAATAACTTTACAAAAACCTATCCCCTACAATTTTCTGTCCAACTTTGTTCTTTTCTGAGTTTGTTATTTGTGCTTTCTAAGATTCAAGTCAACAAATTTTACAGTAATTTAATTTAGTTATTAGAAAAATATTACAGTCAAAAGTGGGCTCAAAGATAACTATTTTTTTTTTTTTAATACATTCTACTTCATATGAATAACATTAACAGACCAGCTTCAAAAGATCATAAAGAGCGTCCCTGGCCAACAGTTTTTAACAGAATATAGAATTTATGTAATATTACATATTTATCAACTGATAATTGCGCTGAAAAATATTTTAAATTCAACTTGAAATTTTAAGTTGCTGTGTCTTGCAATATTGAAATGTGAAGAGACATCAATACATGTTTAATAGACAAATCCAAATAGATACATGTAATCTCATCATCTTTGATATATGTAGTTTGAACTATCGTTTGTCCAATATAACAAGGGTCTGTCCTTCCTGATAAATACGGTTCATTATCACAAAATTATCCTGTACATCCATGATGCACCTTTACTATCCTGTGTTATTTTTTTAGTTTATCGTAAGTGGGACACAGGGTGTTACCTACCAAAATCAGTGCTGAATCCTCCCTGACCCCTGATCCCAAATCTCCTGTTTTTAGAACTCTGTCTTTGCTCTGCTTATCATTGGTATTATTTATTTGACCTTGAACATGGACACGGTTTGCAATCACTGTCTCTCGTTATGAGCAACTTATTGGAGGATTATTAAATTCTTTATTGTAAAATATTTAACTACGCTTAGGCAAAGCAAAAATATGAATTGAATAAAACTCAATATGAATATCGTTTCTTCGTGTGAAGGTGTATTTTTTAAAAAATAAGAGTTCATATCCCTTATATATTTTTTAGGGGTTTTCTCCATATGTTTAAGAGTATTAACTTACTCGTATTCACTGTATTCTAAGGTTTTTATAGGCCATCACAGAACCAAGGAGATGAGTTATTTATGAGAAAGAGTGGTTTGGTTTGTTTTAGGATTCCTGGACTAGAAAGAATTAATTTCTTCCTACGTGTTCAGTAAATCATTTGTATGAATAGAAATTTCCTCTTTTTTGTATTTTATCAGTAAAATTTGCATATGTTAAAAGTACATACAAATTATTTATAATTGTACAAAATTTGGCAGAAAGACAATTACTTTTTCACGATATTAAGTGAATCACGTGTTTGCGTTATTTTTCTACAAGCTGGAATCTATTTTGTTAATTAAGAATCAATTGCATCTAAAAAAAAAAAAAAATACAAAAATACTCGATTTTTCAAAGCACAAAGACAGGTCATTTATATAATAGAATCATGCATGTTTCAATTTTCTAAGTCATAAATAGTCATTTTCAAAAACAACGCCATCAACAAAAAAAAGAATAGACCTATATGAACAAACCGGTGTCTTTCCCTCATCATTGATTAAAAAAATAATTTAGTAATAAACATAAAGGATGGATGTAATGAAATAAATCGCACAAAGTACCTTTGAAAACCTATCACCAATTAATGATTCTTAATTGAATGTTTGGAATATTCCAAAATCTAAAACATTAACTCATAAATATATTGTACTGGGGACATCTTTGAAAACGTTTTGATAATCTTTTCAAATGAAATGTTATCATATTAAATTTACTTAAATGTATTAATACACCACATTATCCTACATGTGCTTGTGTTTAACAATGCGTTTTAAAAAAAAAATTTTTATGCAGACAAGTAAAATTAATTATCTAATAAGAAATCAATTTTTTTACAACAAACTGCACTTACAAATGTTTATGAAACAAACAAAAATTTATTCATTAAATAAATCTGAAAAAATATAGCACTGGTTTTCTGGTTTTCTTTTGTCAAGAATTGATCGTTAAAAATACGAGATGATGCTCACATTGCCCATGATATTGGTTTTGATCGTTTTTACGTTTCATATAATATTTTTTTCCTCAGATGGCATATTAATATTTTCAACACCAGGACCAGACAGTGTAATCAATGAGAGCGTTTTATATATTTTAGATTCGTAGAAAAAAACTTGTAAATAATTCCCTATATAAAATTAAACTTTTTATTTTTTATTACTTGAATTTTTTTATTGTTTAATTGACTTTGAGCTATTAGACTTTTCGGTATCTTAATATATTTCATGCTAAAATATTCGCTAATATAGGTTGAAAATCACAAATTTAGGAAACATTGAAAACACTTCGAAAGGATTTTTTCCAGCGAACTTGAATATATTTTAAGTGAAAAGTTTTCATATATGACGTTGTTAATCAAAACAGTCAAAGATGCTATATCTATTTGAAATCGTTCAATTTCTTGTCAAGTGAATTAGAATGTTAAATATTGGAAATTCCTTAAAAGCATTTGTCAGATTTTTACACAATAAAAAACATTAATCAAGTTTCTGAGTCTATTTTAATATCAGAATACCAAAATAGATTATGTATACCACATCACTCTTCTTACTTGTTTCTTCTCTTATTGTCCCATGCTGCCATTGATCGCCCCAACTGATATTGAAGGAAATATTCTAAGTCTACTTGCAACTCTTCCTTTTTAGATGAATAAATAATCATTATTATATGGACAAAACTGACATCTGACATCTACAATATGTGTTAATTAACATTGACTAAAGAATACATTTTTATATGTTTTGAATATAAGATCGGGGTTATTAAAAAGAATAAGTGGGCAAAATTGAAAAAAAATATCAAATTTAAACTTCATTTCAGCATTGAGGTAAACTATAATACTTAATATATTTTTCCATTGCCTGATAGAGCTGATGGCAGAACACAAGATCAGAATTTTTTTTCCGGGATTAGTGTGGATGATTCGGGATGGGGGCTTAAACAAGCATATACTTCATTAAGAAGAAGATTAAATACATATACAGGTGTATTGTAAATTTATTTTCAATGATATTTTGTTTCACAATTTACACGCTGATACAACATTTTGACCTTCGTCAAAATGGTCATGCTTTGAACATATCTCAGACTGGCACATCGAACAATAATGAAAATTCAATGTCTTACAAATGTTATATTGCTAGATAGTAGAAAAACAGTTATGTTTCAAATGCACTACTTAGGCAACATTGTCAGACACTATCATTAGCCGTTGTTTTGAAAGCGAGTATTAGAAATATCACTTTGCAAAATCGTCACGAAAGTATCTGTAGATTGACGACAGAATGCGACTTTTTTCAACCTCTGTGTCAAATTGGAATTGTTCATTCATTTTTGTTTTCTATGTTCAACGATAATGATGTACATGTACAAAGGAATC